ACGGCTGCCACCCGGGCTGTCACCCAGGCTGTCACCAGCCAGCACCGCTGGTGGGGACCTGGGCTGACTCTGCTGCTCCGTGTCTGGTGCTTGTGTCTGAAATGGGAGGTGAAGTATCCAGGCACAACACCTGAGCTAATCTTGTGCCTTTCAGTGGGTGGTCTGAGCAGTTCTTAGTACTAGTTCTTCTTCCTCAGGTCTCTGTGGTGTGTCTTCAACATTAAAGATATCCAGCCATAAAATGGTGACAAAGTGACCTTTATTTTGGTGGGCTTGGGTGGTAAATGTTCCTTATTCTTGCTGGAAAACGGAGGCCAGGCTGGTGTTTCACAGTGACTGCAGCAGGTTGAGGAAAAGGGTTGGAAGGGGGGTCCTGTCTCCTTGAGGCCCTTGTGGGCAGGAGTGGGTGGGGTGGCCTCCCTGGGCCACTGTGGGCTTCACTCCTGCCTGCTGGAGACCCGTTGTGTGCAGGCTGTGACACGGGGGGTTGCTGTGACACGGGGGGTTGCTGTGCCCCTGGGACGTGTCCTCTGCACTCACCTGCTGCAGGCAGCCTTTAGTTTTGCTGCTGAGTTTAGTCAGAGGGGAGGCGTGGCCTGCAGGGCATAGAGGGGTGCTTTGGGGCACTCAGTCTGTACCTTTTGGGGTGGTACAAACTTCTACCCAGCATCACCTCTGCTCTGGTCAGGCCTCCATGCTCCTCTGCTCCAGGGGGCTTTTGAAGAGCTCAGGTGCAAAGTGGCTGAAGCTTGCCCAAATTCACAGATGCTACCACCTCCCAGCACACACCTTTTCTACCCTTTTGTCCTCTTGTGTCAATGTTGTTGTCACCTTCTTGCCTTTCCCTCGTTGTTCTCCTGATGGAGAAGTGCCAGGAGCAACTGGATTTCTTGCAGTTTTCCTTCAGCTGGGTGAGCATGGTCCATGGGGGTGATGGGGGAATGCAGCAGCTTCTGAGGGGACAGCAGGGACTTGTGGCAGATGTACAAGCCCACCAGGATCAGAAGGTGAAAGTGGAGAAGGAGAGGAAATGGGGCACAAGTGGGGCTGGTAGGATATGTGGGGCTCGGCTTGCTGCACATGGACCTGCTCTGTCTAAACCCCATGTTCTGCCTCTTGGAGCAGTGGCTGAGCAGAAGAGGTGACTGTTCTATGCTCCCCTCAGTGGGAGGCTGAGCAATCAGGGTTTCACAGCTGCCTGCAGGGGGGGAGCAGCACCGGGCAGGGCAGTGAGAGCCTGGAGGAGTTTGCTTTCCTTCCCAGAATCACAGAATGTTGGGGGCTGGAAGGGACCTCTGGAGATCATCAAGCCCAACCCCCCTGCCAGAGCAGGACCAAATCTAGGGCAGGTCACTCAGAAAGGCATCCAGATAGGTCTGGAAAGTCCCCAGAAAAGGAGACTCCACAGCCCCTTCCTGGCCTGTGCCCTCAGGGTGGCAGTTTCAGCTGTGGATGGGGTCACCACGAATTGTTTGCAGCCTTTGCTGGGAGGAGTGTGATGATCCCAGTGGGGACTTTTTCCTCCTCACTCTCAAGTCCACTGGGGCCACTTCTATAGCTTTTCTGGCACGTCCCACCCCTCTGCAGCTCCACATTCAATTTACATTTGTAGTATGTGATGTGTTACGTGTGTGCTGGGTGCTAGTACTTTGCCCTCTTACCCCTGCCAGGGATTTTTGCTGGCTCTTAGTTTTGTGTCACTGAAAGGAATTGCCCGAGGGTGAGGTGCTGGTGAGGCCTCAGCTATCACCCTGTTCTGTGGAAGTTCTTTCTTGTTCCCACCCTGGAATTACTAACGAGGGACAACACACCATGCAGCTGTAAAAGGGAAGCAAAACTAAAACTAAGCAGTTAACAGCCAGTAGGTAATTAGATGCTGTTACAAAGTCAATCAAACTCCAGGCAAGTTGAGATAAGCCTAGATGGAGCCTGAGAGCCCCCACCCTGAGGTCTTGCCAGCTCAGTGCAGACCCTGTTCCTCATTCCTCTCCCAGTCCCTTCTCATGGGCTGATGTCCCCAAACCCACAGGCTTGGGGTGCTGGGCTGCTCATCCTCAGTGCTGGGTGGTGCAGCCTGTGGCCATGGGGTCTCAATGGCTTGTTAGGGCCTCTTCCCTCCTTTGGGAGAAGCTGGGCTGCTCTTTGGGAAGGAAGGAGCTAAACCTGACTCTAGGCAGGGGGGCTGAGGACATGGGGGGACAGAGACAAGGAGTTGCAGGCTGTGTGAACAGGGACCTGGGCAGGACTGGAGGGGTGACCCATCACACCCCTGGCAGGGAGGGGACAGGCCTGGGACAGCCCCAGCCCTCCCCTGCCCTGGGGTCCCTGAGCAGAACCCTGCACCCCAGTCCTGCTGCTGCTGGGCCCACAGTGGATCTGTGCCCCCCGGGAGGGGCCACACGGTTGGCAGCACCCGTGGATGGGGAGGGCAGCTCCCCCTGCATCACCTGCCTCCCCAGCAGCGACTCCTCTGTTAATAATTAACTGTTAACAGAGTTTCCTTTTTTGCAGCCCTACTTCTGGCCAAGTGCCTGCCAGGCATGGGGGCCCAGCTGGGGCTCCCTGGCACACCCCTCCCTGGGCTCTTGGCCCACCCCCTCCAACCTGGTCTTGAAGCTCCAAGGGTCTCCTGGGGACACCCCTTTTCTACCTGTCCTGTCCCTCCTGGGCTGGGGGCTGCTGCTAAACCAGAGAGCCAGGCCTGGGGGGCCAGGGAGCTCCTCTGCCCACCCCTCCTGGGCTGGGCTGGCCCCAGGCTGCTGCCTGGCCCGGGGCAGAAATGAAGGCAGGTGCACACCTGGTGACCATGCTTTGTCCCCAGGACATCCCCTCAACCTGGCTCTGCCCCAGGCAGTGCTTAGTGCAGGCAGGAAGAGGCACAGAGGGCTCACCCTGTGCTGGTGCCAGCTCCTGCCTGTTGCCAGTGTCCCTGTCTGGTGCCCCAGGCACAAGGACTTTGTCCTCAGCCCAGACCAGCCTGTGGAAGGGGCTGGGGCTGCTGCTGAGCTGGGGCACTGACCAGTGGGAGCCAAGGGACAGACACCCACTGCCATGCTCCCCAGAGACACAGGTGCACCAGTGCTGCACAGACACTCCCTTCCAGGACCACTGCAGCTGGGGAGTTTGGAGTGCTCCATATTGGACAGGACCAGCCCCAGGGGGACCTTGCCAGGGCAGGGACTTGCCTTGCTTGGCAGCTTCCCTGTGGTTAAAGGACCTTGGCTGAGATGGGATGGTGGCTAGCCCAGGTAGCCCACTGCTACCTGAGCTGGGCAGGTGCCTAAGGGTGCCACAGGGCTCCTAGGGACAGAAAGCCAGCAATAGCCACAGCAGCCCAGCTCACTTTGTCCTTTTAGAGCTGTCAGCTCCAGTGGGACACAATCTCCCTCCCCAGGCTGGAGAGAGGCAGCTGCTCCCTCACCCCAGGGCCCTTTGTGCCCGTTTGTCCCTGCTGCAAGGTGACTTGTACCTGCAGCACAAGGAGGGGCAGTTTGTCCGGGAGCTGGTGACAAGTGCACACAGCATCCCCTGGGACTGCCCAGCCCAAGGGAGGGCCTGGCTGGGGAGACCCTCAGGTTGTGCCTGGCTGGTTTTTGGGCAGCTTGGCTCCTTGTGCAGTGATGTTTGTGGCAGTGCCAGCCCCAGAGCTGCACTTGGTCCTGTCTTGCAGGGCAGTGACCCAGCTCATCAGCACTGTCTTTGGCTGCCAGTCAGCCCTGTTGGGGCCTGGGCTCCCGCATGCTCCATATCCTCACACCATCACCTTGGGGTCCTTTCCTCCTGAGCCAAGTGCCAGGGTGGTCCTCCCTAGTGGGGACCCCAATTCCCAGGGAGAAGCCTTGTGCTTGTCCACCACCACCCCGTGTGTGTGCTCAGAGCTCTCATAGCTTCACACACACACACACACAGAGATCACTTGGGCCCACATCTCCACACTGCACCTACAGCTCCTGGTGATCTCACACAGCATCCAGTGCAGCCCTCGGGCAGCCTGGGCAACTGGGAGGCCCAGCAGGGACAGGGCTGCCTGTGCAACCCCTCCAGACACAGCACAGATGGTCCCACACAGACCAACTGGCTTTGTAAGTCATTCTGCTTGGTCACCTGGTTTCCCTGGTTAGGTTAGCCCTGTGGGGCTGGTACAGGAATATCTGTGGGAGATGGTCCCTGGGACTGCCTGGGGTGGATAAACTCACACTCCCTGGCCTCTCTGTCCCTCTCACAGGGGCTCTGGCCTTCCCCAGGGTGTTGGTGGGCTGAACCAAGTGCAGATGCAATGCCTGGAGGAGCCTTCTTGACTGCCTGTCACCTCCAAGCCTGGTAAGGTCCCCCCACAACCACTTCCCCCCAACCTGTCCCATCACTCTGGTCACAGCCAAGGGTTCACACCAAGTGTGGAAAAGAGCTTTATTTAGAAAGCACATGGCACCCAGTGCTCCTGGGCCCTCTTTTCTGCTGTCTCTCACCCAACGGACACCCCTACAAACCACCTGATCCAAACTCCTCTCTGTTCCTCCTGCTGTGGATGCAAGGACCTTCCCCCCTGGCATCTCCCCAAGCACAGCACCCACCCCATCCCCCCTCTGAGCACCCACCCCTGTGCCAGCCCAACAGAGGCACAACAGACATGGCAGCCCCTGGGCACTGGGCCTGCCCCATGCACCCACCCCTGCATCTTCCCCAGCCAGGTGACAGGTGTGGGGACACGGGAACATGGGGATAACCCCCGGCCCTGCCCTGCTACCGGTGCGGGAGCTCCTGCTTCTGCTGTGGCTGCTGCTGCCTGTGGAGGGGCTGGGGGCTGAGCGGGGGGACGTGTCCCACCAGGTGCAGGGGTGAGGCTGGGCTGGGGGTTTCAGAGCAGGGAGAATCTGGCTGGTGTTCCAGGGCTGGGAGGTGGTGTCTGGGAGGTGCAGCTGGCACGGCAAAAGGCACAACGGCCTCCGAGGGGATGAGAAAGGCAGGCACAAAGCCATAGGAGAGATCAAAGGCTTTGGGGGCTACTCCACTCTGCAACGGGGCAAGGTGGGCTGGTGCTGGGGTAGCCAGGGCACCTGGGCACCCCGCGGGGCCTGCAGGATCCCTGCCCACCTGCTCCTTCTGCAGCAGCTCCTGCAGTTTCTCCAGCTGCGTCCGGCAGATGTGGGAGCGCGTGCGGCTCTGGCAGAAGGACTCCAGAAAGGAAGGGAGAGGCAGGTCCTGGGCCAGGAACTGCTCTACCTGTGCCTGTGGGATGGGCAGTGGGACAGCATCAGAGAGCTGTGGGACCATGGAGGGAGAACAGATGGCTGAGCACCTCCTGGGCTCTTCTCCAGGGCCTGTCACGCAGGAAGGCAGGGGCTGGGTCTGACACCCAGGCAAGGAAGGGGCAGCAGCACAGGGGTCTGGCCTGACTCACCTCTGACTCTGCCTCCGAGGCATCCAGCTTGGCCTGGAGCTGGCCCAGGGCGCTCTGCGGGCTCCACTTCTCCAGGTACACCTCTGTGTTGAGATGGGATCTGCAGCTTCCCCAGCCAGGTGACAGGTGTGGGGACACGGGAACATGGGGATAACCCCCGGCCCTGCCCGTCTCCCGGTGCGGGAGCTCCTGCTTCTGCTGTGGCTGCTGCTGCCTGTGGAGGGGCTGGGGGCTGAGCGGGGGGACGTGTCCCACCAGCTGCAGGGGTGAGGCTGGGCTGGGGGTTACAGAGCAGGGAGAATCTGGCTGGTGTTCCAGGGCTGGGAGGTGGTGTCTGGGAGGTGCAGCTGGCACGGCAAAAGGCACAACGGCCTCCGAGGGGATGAGAAAGGCAGGCACAAAGCCATAGGAGAGATCAAAGGCTTTGGGGGCTACTCCACTCTGCAACGGGGCAAGGTGGGCTGGTGCTGGGGTAGCCAGGGCACCTGGGCACCCCGCGGGGCCTGCAGGATCCCTGCCCACCTGCTCCTTCTGCAGCAGCTCCTGCAGTTTCTCCAGCTGCGTCCGGCAGATGTGGGAGCGCGTGCGGCTCTGGCAGAAGGACTCCAGAAAGGAAGGGAGAGGCAGGTCCTGGGCCAGGAACTGCTCTACCTGTGCCTGTGGGATGGGCAGTGGGACAGCATCAGAGAGCTGTGGGACCATGGAGGGAGAACAGATGGCTGAGCACCTCCTGGGCTCTTCTCCAGGGCCTGTCACGCAGGAAGGCAGGGGCTGGGTCTGACACCCAGGCAAGGAAGGGGCAGCAGCACAGGGGTCTTGCCTGACTCACCTCTGACTCTGCCTCCGAGGCATCCAGCTTGGCCTGGAGCTGGCCCAGGGCGCTCTGCGGGCTCCACTTCTCCAGGTACACCTCTGTGTTGAGATGGGATACAGCTGCAACAAACCTCCCCCAGGATGTCCCACTACTGGGGGCTGTGGTCCTTTCCAACTGAAACACTCCCAAATCCACCCCTGGAGCCACCTGCACACAACAAGGCCTGCATCCCACCCAGCATCAGCCCCAGCTGAGGGCTAACCATGTTGCAGGCAGCATCACCTCCCACTGCTTCTGCTCCTGGCTGGGCCACTTGCTCAGGGCAGGTTTGAGGGTGCCGAGCCCACCTGGGACCCTCATGTGGGGTGTTGTGGCTGTGCCAGGCTCTGCCACATCCCACCCCCTGCCCCTCACTCACCCAGACGCTGCTGCTTGTCCCAACACGCCTCTCGGATCTCCCGCAGCTCCTGGTACTTGATGGCTAGGGAGGCCTTCCCGTCCTCCAGCTGCGGGCGCAGGGACAGGTTCACCCTGGCCAGGCTGCAGTTGGAAGCCAAACACATCTCCCGCTCCAGCTGCAGGCTCTGAAACTGGGGAAAGGGATGGGGGGGGTGGGGCGTGTGTCTCTGTGTGTGTCACCCCTGGGAGAAACGGGCTGCAAAAATGATCCGAGGGCTGGAGCACCTCTCCTGTGAGGACAGGCTGGGAGAGCTGGGGTTGCTCAGCCTGGAGAGAAGGCTCCAGGGGTTGGGATTGTGGCCTTTCAGTACTTAAAAGGGGGCTTTCAAGGTGGGAGCAGACTTTTTAGCAGGGTGTGTGGTCACAGCACGAGGGGTGATGGTTGGAAGAGGGGAGATGCAGACTAGATCTTAGGAAGAAATTTTTCACACCGAGGGTGACCCAGGTTGCCGGGGGAGGTGGTAGATGCCCCATCCCTGGAAATATTCAAGGTCAGGTTGGATGGGGCTGTGAGCAACCTGACCCAGTTGAAGATGTTCCTGCTCACTGCAGGGGGTTGCACGAGGTGGCTTTTAAAGGTCGTTCCACCCCAACCCAGCCTGTGACTGCCGGGAGGGGACCTGGCTCCCTCCTCCCGCACTGTCCCCACCCTTCTGCTCTGCCCGGAGAGGCAGGGGGAGGAAATGGCCGGACCCCCAGATCAGGGAGCTCACCCTGAAGGGCAAACCTCAGGGCTGGCTGCCAAACCCACCCCCGACAGGCCTGGGCATCCCCCCGGGATGTCGGGACACGCGCGGGCCCCCCCCGGCCGCCGGCCCCCCGG